ATTTCTAGTAAGAACTTGAACATTCGCCAAAGTACATGATAGTTCTAGAAACGTTGCGTCACAGTAGTCATGTGACTCTATGACGCAACAGTATTAACTGTTCTGTGTACTTCTATTAATCACTTACAAATTATAAAAGTATATATATATATAATTTACTGGTGTGTCCAGTAATTTCATATTTTATATATATAATATCATTTCTATTTTGTAAATTAAATGATATAAACAGTTATTATTATAAATATTTTCTTGTTTTGCAGAAATTGTACTGTTCAATTGTATAATGATTAGGTTTTGTTCGCTTGTTAGAAGTTAAGCACCAAGCTACACAATGGGCCATCTGTGCTCTACCCATCACGGGTATCGAACCCGGTTTCTAGCGCTGAAACTCCGCAGACATATTGCTGTGCCATTGGGGGGGGGGGTAATTATTAGGGTAAATTATTAAATATCAGTTGTTTTTAAATACAATAACCTTTGAATATTCTTCTAAATGTCTGCTTAGAGATCTGAATGCAATTTTAACGAGTTCATGGATCTCTTTCAATCATTGTAATTAAAGATGAAAAGAAAGTCGTAAAATTGGATGAGTAATGAAAAAATAAAAAGACTGTTTACTAAAGCAGAAAAATCTAAAAGTCTTTACATGTATCGGTATGTAAACAAACTAGTTAATGATATAATGTGACTGATGTTATCAAATAAATGATGGTGGCATTGTTTATAATTATTACAACTCGATTTTCTATTCCGTTAGGGCGGATTTAAGCTGGAAGTTCTGGACAAGAACGAACGACATCTGTTGGACTTAACTCCCACATCTGCAGATAGCAACTACATCGGAGCAGACGATACAACGTAAGTTAAACGTATAACTTATTCTATCATGTATCAAAATATGTGAATAACTGGTTTGAAATAAAATAACGCTTACAATGTTTCTTATTGAGAATTTGTCTGTAGTATAAGGCACTACAGACGTATAGTGTAAGACAAACCTATACACTGTACCGTGCCATTTCACACTAAAATAGTCCAATTATTTTTTTTAAAACTACCTAAGTGTCTGAATTTAAAACATTATATATATATATGACTTTTCTTTTTGCCAATTGTCAAATAAAAAGGCTATTAGTTATATTTATTAATAGTATAAATATATACTATGTTGTTGTTGGGCTTAGGATTTTTCTACAATAGGTGTCTGAGACTTGTTAACAATAAATTCAACGATGAATAAACATATATTCAGAGCAAGTTAACGTATGTACAATAAACTCTTCAACACTATAGATATTATGGACATATCATAGATACTATATATGTAGTTCTCTCCTTCTAGTCAAATATCCACTTAGGCCTATTCAATTACCTTAGAATTTCACTTGACAAGACGAACTATCTTCTCTATTTCTATCGCATTAATACTCTCTGTGATTCACTTACAATTGTGGCGCGAGTTACCATAATCGTTTGGTCATCTTTCTTCTGAAGATCCTCAGTTCCTTTTGTCAAAGTGCACTCAGGCTGATTCAATTACTTTAGAACCATGCTTTGACGAAATAAGTCTTCTTATCTCATGTTAGTCTTACTCTAACATATTTAGCGTTAGGCCTATCACTTCTATGGTACTTAACTTCACGCCAATTTTATTCTCTTTCGCTATTATTTGTTTGATTCTGTCTGTCTGAGGCTTTCCGCTGGTCTCACGCTATTTATATCTTCATCACTTAGTGGTCTGCACTCCTTCTATATTCTCGACGTCAATGAATTATTAACAAAACTTCCTACAATCTGCTGCTTTTAACTCTTATTATAACAAAACTAAACAATAATAAAACATTCACTCACAAAACTAAATTAATCAATAATATCTGAACGAAACAGTCTTTTATATCAGCACACTAAGTTGGATAAATTTGTTTCTCAATAAACTATAAAAGTTCGGACCATTCCAGTTTAATTTAATATTCACACAGCCTATTGAATGATATTATCTTAACAAGTCAGTTGCGGAGGAATATTTTAACCATCATTGAAATTGAGTAAATTTTAACATTTGAGTTTTTGGAAAATTCGTTTGTCTGTTGCCTCATCATCTAGTTACCTCAACTTTATATCATATCACACATGTTAGTTCTGACATATCACGGAAGCATATAACAAACAAAAATAACAATGGAAATATATTCTTCACTTTGGTATCTTTAGCCAATAATAAAAAGGATGCATAAAAGTGTACAAGACTTCTCCAGAAAAAATGAGTTACTCAGCAGTAGGAATATGATGTTTAACAAAGCTTTCGTGATCGGAACAGATATTAACGTAAAGTTTACACTACTTCAATGGAGATGTTGTCTAATACTCCCACGTTACCTAGAAGTAATAGAATTATAGACACTGAAACTGGTAAATGATGTTGTGAGTATATGAATTCCGCGTATCTAATATTTTATATTTGACTGATAGAAATATCATTTCTTGTGAATGAAGAAAATAAAAATCGCTTAAAGTAGAATGACACGTGTTTAGTCAAAGTGATTTCAGTAGTGTCAAATGAAAGAGGCCAGATGCAGTTTTTAGTTAAATACTCATGGCCAGTACGGGCTTGCTCCGTCGGATCCGGCCTCGTAACCACTTTGTGCTTGTTATAGTTTCATGTTATAACTTTTAAATTAGTAGGCGTATGTTAACGAAATTTGGCATGTAATTTTTTATTAATTCTTAAGGTTTGTTAAGCAATGTTTTTCTCATACCTTTATATATTTTCGCATTTTGCTTATCCAACATGCAAAGTTACGTGCGCATGCATGAAAATAGGCACCTGCGTGCACATGTACCAACATAGACACCTGCCCACACATATACCAAATTATGCATCTGCACGCGCATGTACCAAAATATGCACCTGCGTGCGCATGTACCAAAATATACACCTGTACGTGCATTCACTCAAATATGCCCCTGTGCATGCATGTATTGAGTGGTATTATTTGCCAAAAGCCATGTCATCACGTTTGTTGACTCGTATTGGAAATCTTATTGAACTACTATTTCATGAATTTATGTCAATAAGTTTGGTATTAAACTGTAGATTATCATTCAAATTTTGGTATTATACATTATTCATTTTCTTAATCTAAAAGTAAATAATAAAAAACACAGTTAAACATCGATTTTTGTGTGTCACGTGGTATGTTGAATGCATGCACTGCATACGAATTAGGAACTCAAATTACCAATATTTACAAGCTATGATATAAAATATGAACCTCGTATCATTTTTTTTTTATTATTTTTTTTTGCTGAGATATTGCTTAGGCACTGAATCAAACACAGTGGCCCCGCTCAACTCTTTCCATTTTGGAAACAGTCCTTTATATACACTTTCTTCAGTATATGATATGTGAATAACCAATTAACAGCTAAGACTGCCCCCTGGTGGTTTTCTCAGCTATTTTAAAATGTTGAGAGGCCATCTCATTATTTCGAACCAAGATTTCAAGCAGCTTTGTTTGAAATTTTGTGCAAAGCTACACGAGGGCTATCTGCACTAGCCGTTCCTAAGTTAACATTGTAATACTAGGTAAGTAAACTAGTCATCACCACACACCGCCAACTCTTGGGGTACTCTTTTACCAAAGAATAGCGGGATTGAGTGTCACATTATAATGTCCCCATGGCTAAAAGGACAAGCATGTTTGGTGGGACAAGAATTCGAACCCGCGACCCTCAGATTGGAAGTTGAGCATCCACCTGGTTATGCCAGGCTGAAATACACCCTAGTTACTAAACTTGATAAATTATAGTGGAATTCTATGGTATCGATATAGTAATTATGATTTGTTGGTTATTTAACATAAAACCTAAAAAAAAATATTTAATTTCATTTATATTTATTTCCAATTTTTTTTATGTTGGTTATGAGATCGGTCAAATCTATCGAACCCGTAGATATTCGTTAGTGAAAGTAACAGATAAAATATAAAGTTCTTCCTTATGAAACGGTTGATAACTATCTGGATATTATAATGATTTCGCATGTGAAATTTGAAAATTTTCTAATATATATATAAAAATATTTTTAATCTTAAAATGAAAATTACTTTGCATGTTGGATAGGTAACATGAAAATAAAATTGTATGAGAAAAACATTGCTTAACAAACCTTAAGAATTAATAAAAAATTGATTATTTTAAGTATGAAAGCATTGTAATATTAACTGATAATCTGCCAAATTTCGTTAACATTCGCTTACTAATTTAAAAATTATAGCATGAAAACTATAACAAGCACAAGGTCGGTCCGATGGACCGAGCCCGTGCTGAAAGCGTTTTAATATTAATTACATTGAGCAACTCAAGGGAAGCCACAGTCTTCCATTCCTTATCCATTTTGGCTTTGCCCCAAAACAGGAAGTTCAAACTTTTAAAAATGACTATGTAGGCTTATCTCACCATCGAACGACTTACTGGGATTAATCAAGTCAGAAAACACATAAATGTCATCTTTGGAAGGAAAACGCATAAACAGCTGAGCAACAGAATCCCTCGAAGTACTACAAACTGCACTGTTTTGTTCAACAAAATGTGGGCCAGAATTTTTCAGCTCAGCATGGTAACTGAGATAATTTAAACTTATTAACGAGATACATAATCTGCTAGATAACTTATATATATATATATATATTTCAGTTACTTTTCTGGTTCCTAGGTGCGAAGACTTCATAAAGTTCTGAGCAAATATTTTAGTTCACTTCTCAACTTCAGACTGGAAAATGATGTTCAGTTCATTAAATTCGCCAACAGCATCGTCTACGTAGTGTGTGATATCTTTCATGCTAAGAGTTGCCGTGGGTTTTCAACACTAGATTGTTAGCATGAGATGGATCCTCGACAGCCAAACTAGTGCAACAAATTCTTAGTGTATTCCACTGTTTGATCATTCTCTTGACACATGTCTGCAACGACAGCCATCTGGTTAGGGCAGTTGAGAGAAACTTGATGTTTTTAATATTAGCAAATTCTTGTAACTTCTTGAGTGAATGATGCCTTTTATGACTTGAACTGAATTGGTAATAAATTGTCCTCGGTAAACTTCTAGGCTTTTAGAGAGCTTGTTGTATGTATATGAAGCACATAAATGGCACAAGTAACAACTACATTTCACATTTACTACCCTAGTGAACTTGCCTTAAATTAATATACTGACAGAGGGATTGACTCCAAACATAGCGTTCGTTGTGTCTTAACAGAAACCCAACCAATTGAATTTATTAATGGTACACTGGCCTTTTAAAATTTTGCAAGAGATTCGCGTAGCTTTCAAAGATTCCATTAGCAGTTCCATCAGAGTATTTAACTGTATTAATAACAACCACATTGATTTTTCAAATTCTCGCAGAAATGGCTAGCTTTTTAACAATAGAACAATCTGTAATGCCATTGATTACTATGGAAAATGGGGTGTATTTAAGATCATCCATCAACAAGACGTTAAGATATTGCTTTGTCTAGCAATATTTGTAGCTGCCTGTCTCTTCAAGTTTCACATTACTCTTCAGATTAGGACTAGGCAAGGATTTGACAAGATTCACTAAAATAATCAGATAAAGAATATGATAGATCATGCTCCACAAGAAAATCTATTAGCTGGGTTTCAACAAAAGCCACTTGTTCTTTAATTGATTTTTAAAGTGCTGAACTATTGGTTTAGTTTTTGCTGAGGCAAGTATCCAAACTTTCTCATGTTTTATATGAATGCCACTTTTCTTGTTTTTCAACAGCCCGAGAACTCTGAGTCCTGTTCACAAACTTTTCTGTACTTCTTATTTTGACTTACAGATGTTTTTCTTGATTTTGATTACTTATCCCCTCTTTACTAGCATTAGCTACTTCCTAATTGGCTTATTCACATACTTGAATATCTGTTCCACGTGAGATAATAGTAATTGAAATCATTACATCATCATTAGTCATTTCTAGCATAAGGTTTGATTTGAATTTCGCATAAAGCTACACGAGGGCTATCTGTGCTAGCTGTCCCTAATTTAGCAAGGTTAGACTAGAGGAATGCAGCTAGTCATCACCACACACCGCCAACTCTTGGGCTACTCTTTTACCAATTAATAATGGGATTGACCATCACATTATAATGCCCCCACAGCTGAAAGGGCGAGCATGTTTAGTGGGAAGGGGATTCGAACCCGCGACCCTCAGGGTGCGAGTCGAGCGCCCTAACCACTGGCCATGCCGGGCCTCTAGCATAAGGAAAAAAAAGTATGTAAAATATTAAGTATAACTTATTACATAGAATTGCAACTATAAATGAAGCTGTTGAGAAAAGAAAGTAAATCCTTTATAAGTGAGCTGAAATACTAAAAGAAAGAAAAATTAACAGAACAGAATATAACTCACGTTGGTGAGATATGGATTTAAATTTGAAATTTTCTATACAGTCATGAAAATTTGTTAGCAATGACACATCAAGATGAGTGTATTAAATTAATAAAGACTGTGGTAGCTCTTATATCTGAGAAACTGACTAACAGCTTTCGCCAATACTGAAAGAATATTTGAAAGTTTGACATCAAGTGATGAGCACTGGTTGACGTTTGAAATTTACTCCAAAGTTTTGTAACAGCTTGAGCAGTATAAAATGCGAGTTAGCCCATATGATTATTGAGTTTTTAGTAAGTTATGATGAATTTGAAGTAGTGCTATATTACTTGATAGAATTTGTTAATCAGTTAATTCATTGTTGTGATCATTGAGTTTGTGTTTCGATGAAGATATAAAGATATGAGAGGATTAGAAAGCAAATGAAATTGTTGTATTTGTGTTTTTTGTTAACTAAGACCTACCAGATACTGTGTTAGATACAATGTATTGCAAAAGTATTCACTCCCTACCAATAATGTAAACAATTTTTTAATGAACTTGTTTTTATTCAAACTCTAATGATCAAACTTAACACTGTTATGTGTGAAGGAAGTTGAATGTCAGCAAAACTGCAAAGAAAATATATAAATTGAAATATGCTGATTACATAAGTATTCAGCCCCAAAAGTTAGAGCTTGGTGGAGGCACCTTTGGCAGCAATTATTGCTGTGAGTCTTTTTGGATAGGTCTTTATTATATTTGCACAATGGAATTGTGTATTTTTGCTCATTCTTCCTAGCAAAATTGCTCTAATTCTGATATGTTCGTTGGGGATTGTTGGTGGACTGCAATCTTCAAGTCTCATCATAAATTTTCCATTGGATTCAAATCAGGACACTTACTTTCTTCCTTTGAAGCCACTCCAGTGTGGCTTTGGCCTTGTACTTCGAGTCATTGTCCTGCCAAAATGTCATTTTTCAACCCAGTTTTAGATTCTGGGCATTTTCCACTAGGATTTGCCTGTACTTTGTCCCATCCATCTTTCCCTCAATCCTGAAAAGTTTCACAGTCCCTGCTGATGAAAAGCATCTCCATAACATGATACTACCACCACCGTGTTTGACAGTTGGGATGGTGTTGACTGGATGATGTGCTGTGTTGGTATTGGGCCAGACGTAACACTTCGACCAGAAAGCACAATTTTTGTCTCATCTGACCATAAAACTTTCTACTACATGTCTGCAGTATCATTTGCATACAAAAACTCCATACGAGATTTAAGATGATTCGTTTTCAGTAATAGCTTCTTTCTTCCCACTCGTCCATACAGACCAGCTTTGTAGGGACCAGAATATTGTTGATGTATGAACACTGACCCCCATCTCAGAAAATGGAACTTTGCAAATCTTTCAAAGTCACTGTTGGCTTCACAGTGACATCCTAACCAGTTCCTTGCATGCCTGGCTGCTTAGTTTGAAAGGGCACCCTGATCTGGGTAGTGATTGGGTGGTATGAAGCACATTCCACACCTTAATAATGGACTTCACCGTACTCAAGAGGATAATCAGCAACTTGGAACTTTTCTTGTAACCTTCTTTTAATTTGTGCTTCTCTACCACTTTATCCCTGACTTGTTTGGAAAGCTCCTTGGTCTTCATGGGTGGTTTGTCTTATCACTATGTGAGTTGTGGCTTGAACAGATGCATTTACTCCGAAGTCAAGTTAAATCATTTTGATGACACACACACAGAGAGACCATAACACTCATTTTGTCACCATTCAAACTAATCTTTTGAACTGATTTAGTGTTGCTGTAGCAAAGGGGTTGAATACTTAGGCAGTTGAGAATATTCTAATTTTCTTTAGAAATCTAACTTACTTACATAATATCAGCATTTTTTAGCTTTCTTAGTTTAGAGTAGATTGTGTAGATTCTAAATATAAAGTTCCATTTGAAAGTTTCATGATTACAAGCTCATATGGCAACAAAATATGGAAACATTGCAGGTGGGTGAATACTTTTGCAAGGCACTTTATACACGACTGTTCATTTTAAGTTGAATATGATATTATTATTTAATTTATATTGTGTGAGCGTTAGAGTAAGTTATTTTTAGAAGTGTTAGTTACGGCATGTTTGTTTACGTAACTGTTTAGAAATAATTTGTTTTGTAGTTCAATTGTTGTGAATTGACGTCACATTACTCGAACCTTCCGTTTTTTCTTGGTGCTTTAAGTGAGTATTGTTACACCATAACATCTCATGGTTTGTAGAAAGTTCTAGGCCTCAGACAGGCAATATATATATATAGACGACCAAGTTAGTGGAAGTAATTAACTAAGTTAGTAAAAGCAGTAGTAAAAGTGAAGTTAGACTTTGTGAGTTTAGCTGTGAGAGGCAATTTCTAAAGAGAGTTTCACAGCTTGTATTGTAATAACAGAAATAGAGAAGAATAATTTGTCTTATCAAAGGGGGTTATAAAGTAACTGAACCTGCTGATGGGGACTTTGATGAAAAAGAGACAATTATTTAAAGCTCTGGATACAATTATGATAACCAATAGTATAACGACTTTTTTTACATATGTATGTTTGATATGTTTTGAATTATATATTATTTTTAAACAAGTGAAGTGTGTGCCATCTGTTTACTGTTGAAATTTATTGCCAACAAATCACAGAAACCTACTGTAAAGAATCCAGTTTCATAAAAATCTGACATCTGGTGAAACAGCCATATATGTGCAGCTGTAGTGGTGGAGAAATTATTACAGATTACAACCACGCTATGTAACCATGTTGACTGATTCTGATAAATGAATCAAAAGGTGAGTATCTTGAGCTCAAAGATGGCAAACTACGAGAGTTTGTTAAACAACAACAAGAACTGGAGAGATTAGAACAGCAAAAGAGAAGAGAGCAAGAAAGAACGAAAGAAGAACATGAAATACAAGCCTGAAAAGGAGAGAAAGGAAAGACTGGAAATAGTGAGAAAAAGAATAAGTGCACAAATTGTGAAAGAAGAAAAGATGAGAAAAGAGAGACTGAAAATAGAGAGAATAAGAACACAAATTGAGATTGCCAAGCTCACCCAACAAAAACAAGAAGGACCCAATAATGACAATGGGGTCAAGGCCAGCTGACCCAAACTGCCCAAATTTGATAAACAGAAAGATGACATGGATGCTTTCCTAGAGAGATATAAAAGATTCGCTCAAAGTCAACATTGGGACAAAGGTGACTGGGCACCCTGTCTCAGCCCACTTCTCACGGGAAAAGGCTTCCAAGTATATGCAAGCATGATGTCAGAAGATGTCATGGACTATGGCAAATTAAAGTGGTCTTGCTGAAATGATATGAACTTACAAAAGAAGATTTTCATCAGAAGTTCAGAGAAGTCAAACCTGACACTGAAGAAACTGTATTTCAGTTTGTGGCACGTCTAAGATGATACTTCACAAGATTGACTGATATGACCAAGTGTGAAAATAGTTTTGAGAGACTGGCAGATCTACTAATATCTGAACAGTTCATGATCACATGCTCAACTGATATGTCACTGTTCCTATAGAGAGAGCACCAAAAGATGTAGATGAGATGATCAAATTGGCAGAACAGTATATGTAAGTCCATGGAGAGAGGATAATAGGCAAATCCAGGGATGTCCAGTTAAAGTCAAAACCAGTGGTGGCTGGCCAGGATCAGGAGTCCACCAAAGGTGACAGGAAGTTAACAGGCAAATGGGAGAAGAGATGCTATATTTGTTATAAAAAAGGTCACATTGCAAAGGATTGTATGTCCATCACCAACAACAATAGCAGAAATCTCAACATAAAGCAGCCGGAACTACTTATAAAGATAATGCTGATAAGTAGCAAAAAAAGCGTGACTGTCACCATGGATGCTGCTGCCAGAAGAAACACAAGAAAACACTTCAAATTCAGCACAAAAAGGAAATGTCACGTCCATGATTGATCAGTGCATGACTAATGGTTGACTGAAGTTAGCCAATGAATCAGTAGTGCCAGAAGTGATCAAAGCATGTTACGAATATCAAGAGGTGCCAATAAATTATAACATGCCAATATTTGAAGGCTATGTTGGAGACAAGAAAGTGAAGGTTCTACAAGACACTGGGTGCAGTATTGCAGTAGTGAGAACCAATCTAGTATCTGATAAACAGATGACAGGCAAGGTACACCTGTGTGTACTAAATGATGGGACAGTGAGAAAATTTCCCCAAGCAAAAATAAAGGTGTATACTCCCTACTATGTGGGACACCTTGAAGCCATGTGTATGAAGGCACCAATATATGACTTGGTGATGGGAAACATACAATTTAGTAAGAATTTGGAGGAACCAGACAAAAAAAAAAGACTGTGGAAGCAACTGCAGTCACAACAAGAGCTCAAGGGAAAAAGAGCAAGCAAGGTACCAAGCTTCTTAAAGTCTTGAAAAGTGGCATCCCTAATGTAGGTTCACGGGAGCAGGAGAAATCTCAGAAGAAATACCCTTTTTTGCAGAAACTTTGGAACAGTGTCTGAGAGAAAGTGGAGCAAAAGACAAAATGCCAATAGACTTACAAAACAGAGAAATGGAAAGAAGTATTGAACCAGACCAAACCCATCAGAGAAAGTCAAGAAGCACTTCTATAACAAGAAGGCCAAAGATCAACATTTCATGGTTGGACAGAAGATCTTAGTTCTGCTACCCACAGCCGACAACAAACTCACCCAGGAGTGTAAAGGACCTTTTTGTAATATAGGAAGTGGTCAATAGAATGCACTATAAGATGAGTGTGGATGGGACAACCAATGTATACCCTGTCAATCTGTTGAAAATGTACTTCAAGATGGAAGAAGACCTTATGGGTGCAGCTATTGAGGTACAGATGGACATGGCAGGTGTGGCTGTTATAAATGCAGAACCAGAAGACAGTGACTTCATTATAGAAGATAAAGACCTACTAGGCCTAAGATCACTGGATAGAGACAAGACATACAAGGACATCAACATAAGTAAAGAACTGACTAGTAAGAAGAAGAAAGAGAGACAAGATCTATTGTGTCTGTATACAGACAGGCAATACAAGATCAAGATGAAGACAAGAGATCCTGTCAAAGTGAAGCCCTGCCAGAGGCCATACATGAGGAGAGACTGACAAAGGAACTGTAAATGTTGGTGTAGATTATATGAGAAGACTTAGTATATGAACTGAGAACAGTCTTTGTATATAGTGAAAAAAATATTGTAAATATTTCTCTTGAAGAAGGGCTTATTGTTGGATATACAAGACTATTTAGTGTAGGTGTTATTATTTAATCTATTTTGTGAGTTAATATTTAATGATTGTTTCTTTTAAAGACAGGAGTGTTGAAGATAGATTGTTTTAAAGTGTTAGTTGTGTCAAATTTCGTTATGTAATTCTGTATGAGTCATACATTATGTTTGCAATTACATTGCTGTCTAGACTTTAGCAATATTGTTGACTTCACATTACTCAAATCTTCAGTATTTTTCTCATTACCTTATGAGTAGTATTGCCTTACAGTGCCACTCATGTAGTTCAGAGAAAATTCGATGCCTCGTTGGGGTAATGTATAAATATAGGCGACCAAGCGAGCGCAAGTCATGTGAAGCTAAGTAAAGTTCAGTAAAGTGCAGTTCAGTCAGAAAATTAGTTAGCAAAAGAAAACATGAAGTCAGCTTGTATGTGAGTGATTAGCCATAATGGGCGATATTTTAAAGTGAGTTTCACAGCTTAATAGAGGTAAGGAGAATAATTTATCTTGTCAAAGGGTGTTCTAAAGAAATTGCACATGTCTGTATGGACTTTGACAAAATGGTGACAATTATTTCAAGTTTAGGATACAACTGTGGTAACCCATAAGGTAGCATTAGTGAATTATTTACTGATACTATCGTGATAAGGGTAGAGTAAAATAGTTCATCTTTTCAATTGGATTCTAAAGTAACTGAATCAGCCTAAGTGGACTTTTGACAAGAAAAGAGAATTATTTAGAGTTTTAGATACAACTGTGATACTCCATAGTGTAAAGAATTTTTGTACATACATTTGACTTGTTTTGAATATATTATGTTAAAACAAGTGGATTGTGTTCTTTCCGTTTATTTTCGAATTTATCAACAAGTCTCAGAGACCTACAGTAGAAGAGTCCAAGCCCACATACATAAAACTCTGACATGGAACTATCTACAAAGATGGTGCTGGCAAGAAACAAGAAAAGAGTGACTATCACCATGGATGCTGCTGCCAGAAGAAACAGAATAGAAACAACACATCAGATTCGCCACAAAAAGGAAGCGCTATCTCCATGATTAAACAGTGCATGACTAATGGTCAGCTCAAGTTAGCAAATGGGTTAAAAGTGTCAGTGGTGATTGTAGTATGTGACAAACATTGAGAGGTGCCAACAAATCAAAACATGCCAGTAGGTGGAGGTTAGAGACAAGAAAGTGAAAGTCCTATATTGGACATAGTTATACAGCAGTGAAAGCCAGTATAGTATCTGATGACCAGATGATGGGCAAGATACATCTTTGTGTGCTGATTGATGGGACAGTGAGGAAGTTTCCCATAGCAAAAATATAGGTGGACACTCCATACCACAAGGGAGACCTTGAGGCCATGTGTATGAAGGCACCAATCTATGACTTGGTGATTGGAAATATACCAGGCAGTATAAATTTGGAGGAACCAGACAGAAAGGAGACTGATGAGGCATCTGCAGTCATCACAAGAGCTCAAGAAAAGAAGAGCAAGCAAGACATCAAGCCCTTCCAAGTATCAAAAGGCAATATTCTGGATGTAGGGAACTGAAGGGATCACGGAAAAAGGACCCATCATTGAAGAAACTTTAGGGCAGTGCCTGAGAGAAATTCGAACACAGGACAACGAATCATGGGACTTAGAGAATAGAGGACCAGAAGGGTGTGCTGTACTAAATTTATCAAGGCAGATAAACTGGAGAAGTTAAACAGATCATGATACAACAGAATACTGGACTCAACTGATGAACCCGGCTCACGAGTCGATTGTGGGAGGACATCTAGGAGCAACGTAGATGGCAGGACAATATCTAAAGGGAAGATAGCCAAAGTGTCACTGTGTTTTCTGTGATAAATGGTGATTAGATCTTATGTGTGGTGGCATGGTGACTGAATGGGATTTTCTGTATACAATATACAGTTAAAAAGATTTACTAGTGATATTTATCTCATTATATTTTCATTTCCCATGAATACAAGTGTAGAATTCTTATTTATAATCTCAAAGTTTTTGTACTTTGATTATCATGCCCAGTGTTGTTCTATATTCAAGACATTTTTTAACAGATCATGAATTATTCTATTGTGATATGAAATGCAACTCAGAACTTTTTATTTTTATACATACATATACTAACAGTAAGGTATGTGTGATACAGGTAGTGTGCAGATAATCAGCTTAGAGATGCATTAATATTCTTTAACTAGTCACAAATTGTATTTGAATTGTGTCACGAAAGATGTAACTGAAGATTGTTTAGAATTCTACTGATGTGTCCTTTAGTAACATTCATTATGTAGAAGGATACCTGGAACTATAACTACCTGGCATGGCTGACAAATGTACTATGGGACAGTTGACACTAATGTAACATGTATATAGTGTTGATTCTCTCAGACTCTTCAGAAATTCTTATATAGAGCTTTCAAGAGTAAGAAAGTTGTGCCTTTCTTCTTATGTACTCATCTGCCTAGACAGAATTATTCATGTGTGTCTTATTCAATAGAGATAAATAATACATATTCCTTGCATTGTTCTACACTGTGTCCAGTCTCTTTCCTTCAATTCAGTCAGGTTAGAATTTCAGTTTTGCTCTGTAGTTCATATCTGCCAAATCTCAAGTTAAAGCAGTTAATATTCTTTCCTGAATAAAATCAGTGTACCTGATATCACTACATTATCAGATCTGAATCATGTTTTAAAAATCCACATTTATTATTGAAAAATGGCACCAGATAATTACATTTAACCTTTCTTGTTCTTTATCATATTATTTTTAATTGGTAATAAGTTAGTTAAAATTAAACTGTTTGGAATAACAATTTGTGCACTAAAATGAAAACTGTGTTACATTCTATTCAAAGCTTTTTAGTTCATGCAAATTGAATATTACTTTGGGCATTTAACACACACAGTCACAGATCAGCAGTGTTAATATTGTTGCGTCATCGAGATCACGTGACAATTCTCACGCTCTCTTGTTTCTAGAACTATCTTGTT